TATAAATATAAATATAATTGTATACATATATATATATATATATATATATATATATATATATATATATATATATATATATATATATATATATATATGCATATATTTGGAGTCGAATATGCATGGATAATTGCATATGCGTGTAGTTGGATGTGACGAAAATAAGTTTGTTAGGGTGTTGTTGAGCAGTATTGAGTGTTTGGTTGAGACAGTGAGTGGTGACTGATGAGCGATTGTGCATGAATGTGTGTGTGTGTGTTTGTACGTTTGTGTGTGTGTTTGTACGTTTGTGTGTGTGAGGTGAGTTGATGTGGACGTTTGGTGTGAGATAAGACGATGGGTGGGAAGTCGTGGGCTCCGCGGCCTAATGGATAAGGCATCTGACTTCGGATCAGAAGATTGCGGGTTGGAGGGCCGTCGGGATGGGATTTCAGTCCCGACATCCTGATTTCGTGTTAGTTTACATTTTGCTACTGCCCCCTGATATTAATTTCGTTTTCTTTTAATTTGTTTTTGCAGGTTATTATGTGTTCATTTATTTTAGAATGACTTGTTTTTGCATGATGATTTTTGCTTTGTCTTTGTGTTATGATGCAATTCGTTTTGGTTTTCGACAGTGTCTTGATTTAAGAAATGAATTTTTTTAACCCTACCCTTTTGCGCTTTATTTCTAATTGTCCTACTTCCATATCCTCGTACTACCTCACATTTTCTGTATCATTCTGTAACTGTTCTCTCAATTTTCCTACAGTGCTTCTGTTCTTCATGTTTCCTTATCTTCTTTTATTATTATTATTTGTTTTTTGCATGTTTTATTTAGGATTTTTTTGCTGTCTTTTATTCATCGTGTTTTATCTATTTTTTTCTGTTTGATTTCTTTGTAGTTTTCTACTTGATTTCATCATTTTAAATTTTTCTTTTCATTAGTTCTTTTTTCAATTTCTACTTATTTTTAAATTGTTTCTTTATTTATTCTTTTTTCCTTTTTTGCTTTTCACGTTTATTCTTTCTTTTAGCACATTTTTTTGTCATATTTTTATTGTGTCCTCTTTTTTTCTTTATTTTTTCATTCATTTTTCTCGGTGTATTTAATATTAGTGTATAATTTTACTTGACGTACTGTTCACTTGTCTACTATACAATGCTGATTTGTTTCATTCATGTTTTCACTGTTTGATTTAAAAATAATTGTCTTTTTTTTACTTGTTCTTATTTGTCTTTAATCACATTCGATACTTTTGTAAGTTTCTGATGAATGATCCTCTCTTCATGTATGATTCATGGTTATTCTATTGTTTGAATACATAAGCTATCAGATTTTATCATTAAATGAACCGATAATTAATTCTTAGTATCAGAATGGGTTTTTTGGATATTATAGTCAGTTTAATAGTTGAGATCATGACATTCACGATCCTTTATCGCGAGGTTCGAACCAAGGACCTGCCAGTCTCGGACGTGAGCGCTTAACCATTAGACCACAGAGCCGGTCAGCATCCAACGATGTTAATGTTTAACTTCAACCAATCCACGAAATTGAGCGCCACATTCACGATTGCCTTCAGTGAAGTTAGACATTAACACCGTTGGATGCTGATCGGCTCTGTGGTCTAATTGTTAAGCGCTCACATCCGAGACTGGCAGGTCCTTGGTTCGAATCCCGCGAGGCGGGATCGTGGATGTGCACTGTTGAGGAGTCCAACAATAGGATGAAACGGCCATCCAGTGCTTCCAAATTTTCCATGGTAGTCTAGCTTCAATTGACTCATGATCTCAACTATTAAAATTACTTAATGTTTAGTTAATTAGTTTTCACTAAAGTTTACTTAAAATATTAGATTCATTTAATTCAGTTAAACTATGACTTCTTCTTTTTTGTTTATTTTTTCTTTTAGTTATATGCTTCAGTTGAATTCTAGTGTGAATGAATTTATAGAAGTTTAGAAAAAACAAACTATGTGAAAGCAATTGGAAATAATTATTCATCTTAAAAGTTATGACATGGAACTATTAGAATAGTAAAGGTCAATCTATCAAGTGAACAAATTTTACTATTAAGGTCATATTTTATTAAATGACAAGATGTTTCACATTATATTCGTTTGTTGAATAGAATTTTCAAGACTTGGATTCAAAAAAATTCTTATTACAGTTAAATTGGATGTTTGTAGAGTATTGTGAAACTTAAAGATAGTTTATAAACTAAACTGACCTCAACTAGATAACTATAAATAATAAATTAGAAGTAATAGAAAGTTACCTTATCTTAGTTTGAATTGGGTAATATTGGGAATTGAATGGAATTAGAAATATGGACCAATGAACTCTGACTGAACAGGTTAAAATATTATATACTTCCTAAAATGAGATAAAGATCTTAGGCTCACTCTTTGGTAAGGTCGTAAATGTTTATAGTTGAGATGTGTCCAAGATGAACTGAAATGACTACCAATTGTTCTTTGGTTTTTAGTGGTTTTCTAGTTGAATTCAGTTTGTGATGCAAACCATCTTACCGATGAATTAAAGTTACGTTATATTCAGCCATTTATGTGAAGCTGTCAAGTAAAAGTTTCAGGTTTCTGTTTGTCTTCAAAAATTAACTGTAGAACGCTTATTCAGTGTTGTAACGAGATAAACTCGCTTTTAACAATAAACATAAGCCAATATATCCTTAAATGAGCTATAAGGCCATATAAATGATTACACTGAAGTAACATAATCGAAAGTAACTTTGGCTAAGATTGTTGTCCGGAACATAATCATTTCAAGTCTGCCTATTATCATGAAATATTTTGTAAATATTAGATTCCTATAAACTTCACTGAGATCACAAATCTATTTAAGTAAGGCAACCGTTGAAAACCCAGATGCTCTAGATTTATACAACACTGGATCACCACTAAATCATTGATCTAGAGGTTAAAATTCAGGTGTGATACTGAAGTTCTTGTGTTTGACCTTCGGTGGCAGAAAGGTGGATGACCATCTATAATTAACCAAAATAGCTATCCAGTGTTTCGAAGTTTTCAGTGGTTGTTAACCTTCGATTGGTTAGTGATCTCAATGAAATACAGCAATCTTGACAACCTCAACACTGAATTCTTAATTTTATTATTTTTTGGACGAATAGTTTGAATTGTGTAGAAACAGCCTTAAAATCAAGTCCCCTCTCTCTAAAATACTGATAAATTGACCAGCAAATGTAATCTATTGCTAAATTATATTTTAGGATTATCTATCGAAAAATGGAGCTAAAAATGACTTTTACTGTGATCGGACCGCAATATCCTGTGAATCCCATTCTATTGACAGATCACTTAAACTCACATGGTGTTGTTTTACTTATTTCTTCTCATTTTTAGTTACGACTGCGATTGATCAGTCTCATGTTGGCATATATGCATCCTGAGCGGATTGTCTCGATAGAGCCTTAAGTCACAAGCTTTTTAAGCAAAGATGGATGCACATATGCCAACATGAGACTGACCAGTTGCAGTCTTAAATAACAATGGGAAGATGCAAGTAAAACAACACCAAATGGATTTAAACGTCACCTCATTGCACAAGCAAGTGGCTACTAGAACTCAGTAGCTAAGTGAATAACACGATAGAGTTTGAAGTGAATGGTACTGGGCTCGAGTCCCAGAGTGAACATCAACTCCGGAATGCAGGTATATCCAGCTGACGAGTCTCAAATAAGACGAAACGCGCGTCTAAACTTGATTCCACTGCTAGTCACTATCCATCGTTACTTAAAAAGGTCATTTAGACGTTGAATAATTTCCTTTTGCAGTCAAATTAAATCTTCTAATGGGATTCTCCAGCTAAACTGCCTACTTCTACAAATCTACAACTCACTAAATTATAATATATAAGTTATATAGAAGACAGTTTAGTGTGGTTTGTACACGTGATCCTAGAGATTATATTGACAAAGTTATGTTGCTAGTATTAGGCATATTTTAGTAGTTAACTTTAGGATATGCAAACAAAAGCTTTTCCTGGATAATGATAAATAATTTTATTGAAAATGAAATATTTAACAAAATATCCAAGACGAATATTACTTATTATTAGTGTGAATGTGAATATAGTCAATTTATGGATCAGTCTAGTTTAGTTAGAATACAAATTGTATGAAATATTCCAGTCATTCAAAATCTTTAGAATTTTTAACAATTCTTCATTTGTAATTCAACGAAAAATTATGATAATGGTGTTAAGTTATGAACAGATTATGAATTCTTAACTTCAGTCTTATTATTATATATTTTCTGACTTTAATAACACTCAGTTGACCTACATATTATTCATTCTGCTTTCACTCATCAAACTAGATTTTATCAAGTGTATGTAAAATTGTAAGAGAATTGATATGTCCTGCTAGTGAGTGCTAAATTACATGAAATAAAGGTTTAGTGATTCATTTCGATCTCCTTTAATCACTTAACATTACATAATGTTGAATGACATAAACTGATATAACCATATGATAACTTGATTGATAGAATTTGATTAATGTTAAAGTCTAGACAAAAATGAAATTTCTAGAATCTCTACAAAAACCGCTTCTGATAACAATCATCTGTTCACTAGTGACTGACTTCAAGAGATACTCCTGGAGTTCTAGTGAGAAGCCGCTACTAGTGGAGTTCAACCAGGTCTGTTGTGAGATATCAACTGACTGGAGACAATGGTGTACGGTGGCGCAACTTCGTGGCTGACAAGTGCTGGGTTCGAATCCCGCGATGCTGGTTCGTGGATGCGCACCGCTGGGGAGTCCCATACTGGGACGAAACGGCCGTCTAGTGCTTCCAGGTTTTCCATGGTAGTCTAGCTTCAATTGATTCATGACTTCAATCTGTGAAATTTCTAAAATCTCTAAAAAAACCCCTTCTGATAAAAATGATATTGACTATTACTACTACTACTACTACGTAATGACAAAATAAAGAATAAAATAGTAAAATAGTATTAATGAGGTTGAAAATTTAAATACTTACCAAGAAAATAAACTGGACGATTAACAGGAAAACTTGGATTTCCATTAGCCCATGCAAATTCTTCTACTAATAACGTAAATTGTGATGGATGTTTTTTACGATCAATTAATGGAGAATGTGAAATTAATGACTTCAAAGATGTTGATGAGGACGATCGTTTATTGAATATTTTTGTAGAACGTTTAGAATATTTATTTAATTTTATATAGTTATTTTCAACTATTGAACTATTTCCCATTAAACTTGATTGGTTTTTAATGAATGAATTCTGGGAATATTTCAAGTTTAATTTATCTTTTGGAATGTTATTAGTACTTTGACGCATTTGTAATTTTCGATTTGATTTATCTGGACATCTTAATAAAAGATTAACCATTAGATTATCATTTAACCACATTGAACATGATTCAAATACTTTGAATTCATAAGTCTATGAAGACAAGAAAAAATAATAAAACATTTGCGGGAACTTAAATCTTTAGAGTTTATTTCAAAGAAAATTATACTTTATTGTGAAAAGCAAAGAAGCTTATGAAGTATCATAGATCAAGAAGTATCGAATAGATCGTTTTAGTTTAAGTTTCTTCATCAGTGTATAACTACGATTCTATCTGCAATGAAACTCAGGCTATTAAGATCTTGTGGTAATAGCCTAGAGTAATTGATTTGGAATACAGTATCCTATATTTCCAACTTCGGTCATCCAATAGTATCATTCCACATGTAGTTGCCACTACAGGATCATGATTTCTCACCAGTAGCAACTTCTTTGTTAGTTACTTATGATTACACTCTCATTATTAAATTGAGATCTCGTGGAAATTGTTACGTTTGGGTTTTCATCTGTTTTCGAATGGTTGTCAGTCAATGACAACAAAATTCCTAATCATATATTCTCTATAAACCTTCATCCCATTAAGGATGATAACACTGCATAGTTGTAAAGGTTGTTACATTCCCCCAAAAACCATCTATTGATTATCTCGTAAATTTGGCTTAACATTTTTCGTACCGAAATTCCCCACAGAAGCTATAACTTAGTTTTACTGTGTTTGAGAAGGCTTCTTTCTTATTAGTTCACAGTTCTTCAAGCGTGTTTCTTTTTTAAGACCTAATTCCAAGATCATTGTACATATAACTGCTGCTAGAAACGAGATGGGAATTTTTGTATTCAAATATCGAAACAAAGCTAGGAGTTATCGCTACTAGTTCAAGATAAATAAGTAGTGAATAGGTTAGATGGATAATCCATTTACTACGAAACCCACACTACATAAATAGGTCTTTGTTAAAGAAGAAATAAGAACAATTCACTTGAGAAAGTCTAATCTTTTACGATATTATTAACTGGATCTGTATGACCATATTTGGAGTTATTCAACACGTATAACACCCTACCAAAAAATGATTGTATCATTTAGTGTTCGGAAACATCATGTATCACAAGAAAGTTACGTAAGTTTCTAACGTACAAAAAAATAGTTTACGGAACAGAACTATGAGAGATTATCATACACCTGATAGATATAAGGAAGTAATGGAAAACGTGGTGATAATAAAGACTGAATAATAATTATGAAAAATCAAAAGAGGGTAATAACAACTGACCATTGAGTAAGTAAAATTAATAGGAATGTTCGGAATATGGTCAAATGAAAGGTTATATATACTACTTTTACAAACAGAGTTCAGGTTTGAACCTTTGGATTATCAAGGCTTTTATATGCTTCATTCTAGACCAACTCATTTAACTGCAGGGATGATTTTGAAACATAATGCTATTTGAAAGACGTCACTAGAATTGATGAGATGTTAATATATTGAGTTGATGATTGATTTTCATTCTTTATTTTTAAAATTGCTCTTATTAATGTTCCAAGATATAATTAGAGAGTGTTGGGTTCGTGCACCCAATATAAGTTTGGGCACAAGAACAAGTAAATTTATTGTTGCCCACTGATGTAATCTAGGTCTCAGATGAATGGTATCGTCTGACTGAAAAATTTCTTCACTGTGTTGTTTTGCTTATTCTTCAATGGCTAAATTACCTCTGTTTAAGAAAATATTTCTCATTATTAAATGGAATGAATTCAGAAAACAAAGTTGTTTGTTGAATACAATCACTGAAGTACATCTTTACATTTCTGGAAAAAAATAGCTGTCCAACGTTTCTTGATTTTCGTCCTAGTAGACTGCATAATGATAGCAAACTAGTCTCCGTGTGGTGTGTGCTACATATATTGACATAAGTAGTATATGGTGTTAGTCGTGAACAGAAGGTCTGGCAGCAGAGAGACAAGAGGATCGAACAGTAAAGAATGGAAACAATGTAATTTGTATGAAAATACAAGAACAATGAAGTTTGGGCCATTTTGCGACAATTGGTGGTCATTTTGCATTTACTATATGGTTGTTAGATTTTATTAACAAGTTCTGTAATTTTGTGTCAAATACATTCGATCGTCCCGACTGGTGTTCTTGTTCGCTACACCCGTACTTAGTTGAATCAATGATACTCTTTTTACTATAGATTTGAATCAGTATTTTTTTTAATAGTTCTAAACAGAACAATGACAAATAAGTCCACTCTGCAGAAACAGTAGTGATTCATTGTTTAAAATGTAACGTGCAATTTCAAAAACAGTTTTGTAGTTCACGTAATACTGCCTTGACAAGTTAACATAAACCTATAACCCTTTTCAATGTTAAATCTTTTTTGTATTTTCTACAGTTTATATAAAGTCAATATTGATTGATTTTAACTTGTGGTTTCCTCTAGATAATACTGAAGAGACTGATATGTCCTGGGTTCGAATCTCGTGATGCGGGGTCGTGGATGTGCACTGCCGAGGAGTCCCACAATAGGCTTCCCATGGTGGTCTAGCTTCAATTGACTCATGATCTCAACTGTTGAAATTACTACAATCTCCACAAAACCCTTTTTCTAATACTGAAGATATTGACTAAACATCTCATACATAACACAAAGTTATTAAGGATTTTTATTACAATTCAAATGATATAAAATTAACTTACCCATAATATGTAAAGTGATTCTTGGGCACAAACAAAAATAATTTCATCTTTTGGTTTCACTCGAAGAAGTGGTACAGGTTTTGTTTGAAATCTAAATAATCGAAAATATGCATACTAATAATTAAAGGAAAATTATACACAACATTTGTAAAATATGGGAACAACACATTGAATACACCATTTGTACATCTTCCTTGAATCGTCTTTTACAAACTTCATCGTTCTCTCATTCTTGTTGGTATTCTAACTACTTTTCTTTTTTCTTTCTTCGCCTCATGTTCCTCTTCTGTCAGTAAAAATCTTCTAACTCTCGACACGCACTACGTATATATGTTTGTATAAGTATCATACATTATAATATCATAGAATAGGTTTTTTCATTTCCGTGGGTAAACACCGAATATCGCACAGCCTTATAAATTTTTAATCATTAAAGTTACTCTTTTTGATCAATTGGTCAAGACACCTTTTTCCTTTCATTAATTATACATTAAAAGTAAATAAGATTTATCGACAAATCATGCTTCTTTGTACTAATTAAAGTACTCAGTTTTTTTCCATAAAATTTGATTTTTAACAAAACAAACTATGATATTTAGATTATGTCTAATAGTAGGATCCAGGAAGCGCGTTTCTTCCTATCTAGGAGTAGTCAGCTAGGTGTAATTAAATCCAACTGTTGATACTCATACTGAGAATGCATACTAGTACCAATCACTTCAAACGCTGCCAAGTTATCGTCATTGTGAAATACCGGAAAATGCAGACTTACAGATAATTTAATGCAAGCTGAGCAAGTTAGTTGTTTTACAGAATCAAGGTCATATTGTATAGAGCGTTGGTATTCAAAGTAATAGGTGCCAAGTTCGATTATCAGTATGAGCATTAGCATAGAGATCTAAATATATCCGCGTAAGGTGTTCTAGATAGGGCTGGGTGCTTGACCTTGGGTCTACTGATAACCAGAATCTAAATGTGTTAAAACTTGTAGCTAAACGATTATGTCTAAACAAACCGACTAATATGCTGAAATACCAATAGATAGTGGTTATTTACAGTCCTTAATACCAAGAACTGAAAAATACAAACCCTTGCAAGTAATCTTATAAATAAACAAATAACCATTACTAAATGCATCATTTTAGTCTAATGTATATGCTAACTGAGCTATAGAGGTTTTTCAGCATAATTGTCAGGAAGTTTATAGCTTACATAGACACCCAACTTTGAGACCAACAGGCAGGATTCCGTAAGGATCGATCGTGTACAAACCAAATCGCAACACCACGGATCATTGTGGAACAATCAATTGAATGGAATTCATCACTCTACATCAACTTCATTGGCTACGAAAAGGCATTTGATAGCGTGGACAGAACAACATTATGAAAACTTCTTCGACACCACGGCGTGCCTCAGAAGATAGTCAGTATCATAAAGACTTCATATGATGGATTACACTGCAAAATCGTGCATGAAGGACAGCTGACAGACTCGTTCGAAGTAAAGACCGGTGTTAGGTAAGGTTGCTTACTCTCACCCTTTCTCTTTCTCCTGGTGATCAACTGGATCATCAAGACGTCAACATCTGAAGGGAAGCACGGGATACAATGGACATCTAAGATGCAGCTGGACGATCTAGACTTCGCAAATGATCTGGCCCTTCTATCGTACACCCGAAAACAAATGCAGGAGAAGACGATCAGTGTAGCAGCAGCCTCAGCAGCAGTAGGTCTCAATATACACAAAATGAAAAGCAAGATTCTCCGATACAACACAACGTGCACCAGTCAAATCACAACTGACGGAGAAGATTTGGACGATGTAAGTACCTTTACATATTTGGGCAGCATCATTGATGAACAGGGTGGATCTGATGCAGATGTGAAAGCGCGGATCGGCAGAGCAAGAGCAGCATAGTTACAGCTGAGGAATATCTGGAACTCAAAAGGACTGTCTGTCAACCAACACCAAGATCAGGATTTTCAATACAAATGTCAACACAGTTCTACTGTATGGGGCAGAAACCTGGAAAACTACGAAAGCCATCATCCAGAAGATACAAGTGTTTATTAAAAATTGTCTACGCAAAATACTTCGGATCCGCTGGCCGGACACTATCAGCAACAACGTACTGTGGGAGAGAACAAACCAGGTCGTAGTGGGAGAAGAAATCGGGAAGAAGCGTTGGAAGTGGATAGGACACACATTGAGGAAAGCACCTAACTGCGTCACAAGACGAGCCCTCACATGGAATCCTGAAGGCCAAAGGAGGAGAAGAAGACCAAAGAGCACATTATGCTGGGAAATGGAGATAGACATGAGGAAAATGAACAAGAATTAGATGGAACTAGAAAAGAAGGCCTAGGAGAGAGTGGGTTGACGAATGCTGGTCGGTGGCCTATGCCCCATTAGGAGTAACAGGCGTAAGTAAGTATGTAAGTAAGTTATAACTCGAACTCTGAACCTATTCACCGGTTATAAATACCTCTTATTTAGATATGTTCTAAAAATGCAAAACTGTTATGTAAGGCGATAAAAAATGAAACAACAACAAGAATAAAACGTATAACTTCTGAAGTTGTTGTAAACAATGAAACTGAATATAGGCAAGTGTATTTGACCGAATTAAAACTATTTGTAGTGAAAGTATTAAATTATGTATCTTAACTTTTGTTTCGTAAGATTATATGAACCAAATATTTATAAATGTGTCTATATGATAGAAAGATACTTAGTACTATTCTTTCAATAATATTTTATTATACTCAAATTGAATCCAAATTTGCTTAACATTAGAATTGAAGTTCTCTTTATAAAAATTAAATACAATCTGTTCTTATCATATGTAATCCTTGTTTTAAGTCATATTAAGATGACACGCAAAAGATGCATTATTTAAATTACATTTAGAATAAATATAATTGTCATTATTTGTGGGTTTCTATATGTTGCATATATGGAAATACTATTATTATTATTATTGTTACGATTACTATTGCTACTACCAGTAATACTAATACTACTCCCATTGATGTTTTTATTATTATAATAAAAAAATAGCTAAAATGTCAAAGTAAAATAAAACTTTCCCCCCTTGAAATAAAGAAACCCAACTCACAACAACAAACATTCCGAGTTCTTGTAATGTTACTAGTGTTGCTTTATTATTATTATTATTATTATTATTATTATTTATTCCCAACGTATACCTCACCAAATTCTTTCATGATCAACTAACCATCACTAAATTTGCATATTTTCAAAAGTTGTTATTTCATTTTTTATTTTTTAAAAAGTGGAGAAAATTAAATGTTGAAACTGGTGTTGCATAACTACTATTGCAGAAGAGGGCGCGAGAGAGTGTGTGTGTGAGAGGGAGCGTTGAGAATAAAAAATAAACAAACTTATTTATGAACTAAGGAGAATATAATAAAACAATAATTGATAAACATCAGATTAGCGTGTATTGAACATTTAATTTTTTTTCTTTAAAAAAAAGTAACACAAATAATGTAGGAAGGAATATACTATTTTTTGTTTATTGAAACAAAACAATTAATGAAAAGAAAAGTAGACAAAAAAATTTAAAAGAAAACAGTTGGTGAAATATACAAAAGAACAGAGAACAACCTGATAGAGAACATAAAACATATAGACATGATGAGTGAGAGATAGAGACAGAGGGGGAGGCGGAGGCAGAGAGTGGAAGACAGTGAGAGATCGAGGAAGAATAAATCAACAATATACTCACACTAGTTATTACTTATTGTGATTTATATATTTGATTTTTGTAAATGTAATTTATTATTATTCTTAAAAAAATAATAACACAACTACATATATATTTTGATATAATGTTTAGTGATAGTAGGTAAATAGGCAAATTGAAGTGGGTATTTATGATGTTCACACATATACAATGTGTAATAATTAAAAAAGGAAAATGACACAACTAAAGGAATAAGCAATAAACGGGAGGAGGAAAAATAATATGAATGTAAATGAAAATGAGACGTTATTCTGTAGATTGAATATTCAAACGAAACACTATTCTATTCATGATACTTAAACATGACAATGATTAATGTTTAATTATTTTGAATGATAAGAATTATTTACAGTTTTTGAATAGTGAATAATAAAATTGGTTAAATGAATAGTTGAGATAAGATGATGGTAGTCATCAAGAAATCCTGGACCTAGATTTCTTGTTACATGGCACTAGTCAGTTAGGTGTACCTGTAATCTTCAGCGAACCGATGCTCCCTGACGGATTCGATTCCGTGTCATCCATCTTCATAGTCAGAGACGTTACAACTGAGCTATCCTGGCTGCGACTGAGCTCTTGTAGGACCGAGATAATTGATTGATCACTGGGTGGTGATCAATGTCATGTATGCCAGTTCCTTCCTAGAACAGATCAAATCTTATCGACCAAATTGCGATGTGGCCACTAATCTAGGTGACTTGACATTGCATGCACTATGTTTTAAACATTAGAAATTAGGTAACATGAAATCTACAACCTCCAATTATTCATATTTCAAGTAGCTTCTAGTGATGGTGTTTTATGTTTCGTTTTTGGCATATAAATGTTGATTAATCTGTCATGCTGGGTTTAAAAACAGTTCATTAAAAGACTTACATCGATAATTTGTTGTCACTGACAATTACTAATTGCTCCTATTGTAATAATAGGCATCATCTATCAATGAATATTTAATTCATTGATTTCAGCAAACTAAACTCTACTAACTACAATAAGAACGCTATCTTAAACAAATCTTACAACATCTATAAAAAGAGGAAGTCGAACCTAGAACTTTTTAACATTTCATGCAGATGGTTTCTGACCAAATATTTGAAAAAAGCAAGAATGTCCATGCTTGTCGAGTTAACTATGAATTTTGTTGTTTTATACTTAATTATTTACAGACTTATAAGCTTAATTTTAGTGAACTAGCAAAGTAAAGATTGAATTGTTCATCAGAGAAAGTAAATTGTTTGGAATACAAAATTGAAATGTAGTTTAAATAGATGAGTTTAGAGAAAACATTTATATAATTTCTAGACCACTAAATTGTCATT